GGAATCCAGCGACATAGCCATTACGCTAACTGCTGGTTCCCCCAAGATAAGTAATTCTTTAATAAAAAAGGAAAAAATGTACTTAAAGAAAGGACAGTGTATTGGGGACCAGCAGGTGGCGTGGTGATTAAGGCGCTGGACACTCCCACATGGCCAACCAGGGTTCGAGTCCTGAATCTGGTGGCTTGCTTTCTCACTTCCTCTCTCTCACTCTCAAGCTCTGTCTCTCTCTGGTCAAATTAGAAAAATAAATGAATGAATAAATAAAAATAAAATAATTATAAAAATTTATTTTTTAAAAAAGGACAGTGTATTTAAAGCAATTGTAAACAAAATTGTTGACACACCTGTCCTTTATTCCCAGCTTCTCCTCAAAGCTTACCTTGTCTTCAGAACTGCCCACACCCTCTCTCATCCCCACCTCCCTTCTCTTGAAGGAGAAAGTGAGCCCAAAGGAGGGGAGCACCCACATCCGTCCAGCCCTTTCTTAACGACTAGGCCAGTCACGGTTGTTCCTCCGTGTCCATACTAATCTGCCATTGTCGCATTGCACACAGCCTCAGACAGCATGTGGTCATGTCCGCTGGGCTTTCTTCACAGTGAAGCTCCACATTTTTCATGTTCACTTCACCACACGTACTTCTCTGTGGATTGTCTCTTCAAGGCACTTGCCTATTCTCCTATTATAGGATTTGTCTTTAGTAAGAAATCTAAGTTTTTATTTATGTCTTCTGAGAGAGAGAAAAAGAGAGCACCCTGGGACCAGCAGGTGGTATGGTGGTTAAGCTGCTGGACACTCCCACATGACTGACCTCAGTTCAAATCCTGGACCTGGTGACTTGCTTTCCCACTTTCTCCTCTCTCTTTCTCTCTCTGATCAAATTAAAATGAATTAATGAATAAATTTTAAAAATTAAAAAACAAAAAAACAGAGAGCTCCCCACTGGGGTCCCAACACTGGAGAGTCTTCCGGCCATCATCCAGCCCTGGACCCATGGGCATGCTCAGGGAGGTCTCTGGGCTTGAACCAGGAATTTCCCATATGCGATTGCTTTGCAGGGCATTGTGTTTTACTGCTGAGCCACCATTTGGCTCCTGTGAGGAATCTGTATTAAGATACTAGCTCTCTACTGCATTTGCCTCCACCCCTTACTTCAAGAACTTTTTAAATTGGGACCTTTGGGCCAGCAGGTGCTGGAAGGTTGGGCCAAGTGGATCCCACATGGTTAACTACACAGTTCAAGCTCTGATCAAGCGACTTGAAAAGTGTGGTAGGTATGGGAACCAGCAGTTAGCATAATGGCTATGTTGCTGGACTCCCACGTGGTCGACCGCGGTTCGTGTCCCGGACCCAGTGGCTTAAAAGTCATGCCGGGCGCGTGTGCGTGCGTGCCCAAGATCCCGAGAGGAGAATGGAGGAGAAGGGATTGCGGCGTGACCATCCCCCCTGGGGGGTGATTTCTCGCTTTCTGTCTCTATGTCTCTCTCTGTCTGTCTGGCGAGCGCACGCGCCCTACAGTAAAAATCTCTCAAAAAAAAAAAAAAAAAAAAAAAAAGTGTGGTAGGTATGTGTGTGTGCCCCAAAATCCTTGGAGGAAATGGAGAAGGGACTGTGGTGAGGCCGTCCCCCTGGGGGATGATTTCTCAATTTCCCTCTCTGGCTCTCTCTGCTGAGCACATGTGCCCTATAGCAACCTAAAACAAAACAAAACGAAAAGTAGGGGCTCTTTTTGGTCATAAGGAACAGACGTTTATTGTAGCTAACTGAAGGGAAGTGCACAAGGTTGCCGAAGGCCCACGGAGAGGAAAAGGAGAACGGTCACCTTATGCCACCCTGAGCCGGGCTTTGCAATGGAGGTTGCCCTTCCTGTCCTTCAGAGGCCCTGACACCTGCTCGATCCCCTCCCTTATCAGGCAATTGCACTTTTTTTTTTTTTCCTATAAGACACAAACAGTCACTGGAGAGAGGAGAAAAAGAGAGGGAAAGTGAGGAAACACTCCCAGGGGAAGGCCAGGCAACAATCCCTTCTTTCACGCTCCTCCTCGGGTTTCAGGCACACATGCATATGGACCTGGCATGTTTTCCAAGCTGCCAGGCCCAGGACTTGAAAAGAAAAGAATCTCGTAGATTATATTATAAAGTCAGAAAACATTTAGGTCAATTTTCTTTTCTTTCTTTCTTTTTTTTTTTTTTTAAAGAGAGGTTTTTGCTATAGGGCATGTGCACTCACCAGAAAGACAGAGAGAGACAGAGACAGAAAGTGAGAAATCACCCCCCAGAGGGGATGGCCACGCCACAATCCCTTCTCCTCCATTCTCCTCTCAGGATCTTGGGCATGTATGCACATGCGCCTGGTGTGAGTTTAGGCCACTGGGTCCAGGACTCGAACTGCGGTCAACTACATGGGAGTCCAAGTGACATAGCCATTATGCCAACTGCTGGTCCAATTTTTTTTTAAAGAATTGTTTTATTTAAGTTTATTTATTTTAATTTGCCCAAACAAGGACAGAAAGAGAGGGGAAGTGAGAAAGCAAGCTGCCAGGTCCAGGATGCAAACCATGGTCAGCCATATGGTAGTCCAGTGCCCTTAGCCACTATGCCATCTACTGGTCCCCAAATGTTCACACCTTCTACATCGGAGAGCTATAATTTTTTTTTAAAAGGAATTATTTTATTTTTATTATTATTTTAATTTTCTATAGGGCAGAAGTGCTCACCGCAGACAGAGGGAAAATGAGAAGGCAAGCTCTTAGGTCTAGGCTTTGGTCAGCTCTGTGGGAGTCCAGCACCTTAGCCACCTTGCTGCCTGCTGCCCCCTCAACTTAGTTCTTTTAAAACATTAATACTTTGGGGCTGGATTCCCACATGGCTGACCGTGGTTCAAGTCCTGGACCTGGCGGCTTGCTTTCTCTCTTTCCCTGTCTCTGGTCAAATTAAAAAAATAATAACTAGGGATCAGCAGTTGGCATAATGGCTATGTCGTTGGACTCCCATGTAATCGACTGCGGTTTGAGTCCCAGACCTGGTGGCTTAAAACTCAGGCTGGGCGCATGTGCTTGCGTACCCAAGATCCCGAGAGGAGAATGGAGGAGAAGGGGTTGTGGCGTGACCATCCCCTCTGGGGGGTGATTTCTCGCTTTCTATCTCTCTGTCTCTCTCTGTCTGTCTGGCAATTGCACGTGCCCTATAGCAAAAACCTCTCCCAAAAAAAGAAAAAAAGAAAAAAAGAAAAGAAAAAGAACTAAATGGAATTAAATAAATATTTTTTTTAAAAAAGAATTATTCTATTCAACCCTATTTATTTTATTATTTACTTATTTGAATTTGACCAGAGAGGGACAGAGTGAGAGAGAGAGAGAGAGAGAGAGAGGAAGTGAGAAAGCAAGCCACCAGGTCCAGGACTTGAACTGCAGGTGACCATGTGGGAGTCCAGCACCCCCAATCACCATGCCACCTGCCAGGCCCCTTAAATAATTCTTAAACAAAACATTAACACTTTAATCTTTTGGATTAAAAAAATCTCATTCTTTAGTGTTTTGTCCTCAGTTTCCTCCTTTGAAGAACATTATATTTTAGCCAAAAAAAGAAAATATCTATATTGAGTCCTGCTCCATCTTGGGCTGGACCTAGGAATAGTAAGCTCAGCTTCCCTTTTCCAGGGCCTCCACACTTCACCTTCAGTCACACAGACTCTAATCCCAGGGTCAGCTTTGGTTCCTCCTTTTCCATAGCCTCCTGAGTCCAGTGAACCATTTAAAAAATACTCAGTTTTAAGGGCCGGCAGGTGTTGTGGTGGTTAAGGGCATTGGACTCCCATATGGGCGACCAGGGTTTAAGTCCTGGACCTGGTGGTGGTTTGCTTTCTCACTTTCTCTCTCCCTCTCTGGTAAAATTAAACAAAGTTAAATAAAATCATTATTTAAAAAATTCAGTTTTATGATTACTTTTTTAACTTGACCAGAGAGAGGGAGAGTGAGAAAGCAAGCCGCCAGCCCAAGACTCAGACACCGTGAGCCTCGCGGGACCGGAGAGAGTCCAGGCGTGGCCTCCATGCTCCATGCCCAGCCGGCTCCAGTGGGCCATTCTTCAGCTCGGACCTGTACTGGTTTTGTGCCCTGCCACTCCTGGAGCTGCCCCTCCACCTGCTAGAGCGGCTTATCCAGAGGCCTGGGGGTGGGAGTGTCTCTCTTCAGACCTCTCTGGAATAGTGTCAGATATTTCCCTGAAGGTCTCCGCCCTGACAGAAATCTAAAATACCTCCCTACAAACTCCCTGGCTAGGTTTTCAAGACCTGACCCCACCTGATGCGAGCTGATCTGCCGTCACCCTCAGCCTTTCAAGCACTCCTGCACGCGGGGTTCGCGAGCGCACCCACCTTCCTGCCCTGCAGACGCTGCTTCCTCTGGAAGCCTGCCTGAACTCTCCACCCGCAGAGCTGCAGTCCTGGCCCAGCTGTCTCACGCTGCCCTGGCCAGAGCCCCCTGCATTCTCTTTGGCACAGTCCCCCTGTCTTTTTATTTTTGAAAACCTGCTATAGGGCACATGTGCCCAGAGAAGGGCACAGAGAAAAGGAAAGTACGAAATCGTGTGTGGACGGCCTCTCCACCTCCTCCAGGGACTTGGGGCCGCGCACGTGCAGGTGTGTCTCCAGCTGCGGATCAAACTCCAGCTGTGCCGGGCCACAGGGGATCCAGCTGCCTTCACCACCGCCACTGCCATGGCCTGCGCGGAACCACGTGTCTCAGCACTTCCCACTGCTGGGTGGCTCGGCTTGGCTCAGGTGTGGTCGTAACTTCCTTGCAAGTGTATGACTGGAGTGGCACCCAGAGCTTTATTCTGCTTCGAATATCCCTTCTCGGGTAAATAGGAAAGCGACTTCTCCTCCACATGTTGGGGGCCGAGAGGGGCCGGGTGCTACACCCCGGTCAGCACCAAACCCTGACTGGCCGTCAGGTGGCAGGAGGAAGCCGGCTTCGGGACGCGACTTGTGTGCGCTGGCGGGCCCCAGGAGTCTGTCCACCTCACTGTTTGAGCCCTCGGTGTCCGAATAAACGGAGGCCCTCTAAAGGTCTAGAACCACCTGGGCCTCTTCATTTTCAGGGTGCTTAACATATTACTCTCAAGGGGTGCAAATGCGGTGGCGCGTGTGTCTCCGTGCCCTTTCGTCTTACTCCAGGAGACATCACGAACTGCAAGCCGACTAGCCTCGGACTCTGCCATCAGGGCTGTGTTTCAGGTAGGTGACAAGGCGGCCGCGGGCTCGGGCCCAGCGCGATGACTCTGCAGGAACCCGGCGCCGGCCTCACCTCCTGGCCAACCAACAGCCACTTCCTGCCTCACTCTCGGCCAATCCTCACGCTCCACGAAGAATAGCCCTAGGGGGCGTATGGGAAGGTGCGCGGAGCGATGGCCACGCCGACCAACCGGACATCGGGGCTTGCGCGGGGGGGCAGGACTTGGCGCTGCCGAGAGCTACTCAGGAGCGAGGGGCGGGCGCAGGGCCGGGCTCCGGGCGGGGGGGCTC